TGGGTATTGCATTGAACAAAAGGAAATCTATTTCATTCAAATAAAGATATCAAAGTGGAACAATATACTTTACTCCATGTTGTGATAATTAAGATAACTCAATAATATTGGTTGGTCCTCAGAGAACCTGAAAAAAAAAAGATGCAAACAGGTGATACTTTGTGGTTCTTACACATTCATATTATTCTTATTAGTTTAGAGAGTAAATTAATGCTGCATTCGTTGTTAGTTTATTTTCCCATAAAATCTAGATACATAAACTGGCCCACCATTGTGACTTATTCTAATGTTAGAAAATAGCAGTAACTTATAGACACCCAACCAATAAAGTTCCTGCTTTAAAGTTAAGTTCTGATTGGTTCATTTGGGTTGCTGTAGATCACTCTTTTGTGAATTATAAATGTATCCAATACATCTGAAGCAAACCAGTTAGATTCTCCCTTTCATGCAGAAGAAGTATAAGAAAAGTTTTAAAGGCTGCAAAGACTCTCTTAAAAGCAGCCCTTTGCCCTAAGCTGTTGTCTTTATACAGTTTTGTATGTATAAATAATCTCATCTATGTACAAGCAATCTTATAATTGACTGCTAGAGTTTACAAACCTTGTTTTTGTGTATAGTTTGTAGATACAGTTCTGTGAAAAAGTATTTGACCCCTTCCTGACTTTTTTTTTCATATATGTCACACTTAAATGTTTTAGAACAAATTTTAATATTGCACAAAGATAACCTGAGTAAATACAAAATGCTGTTTTTAAATGTATAAATTAATGGATAAATTAATCTATTTATTAAGGTAAAAAAGCTGGCTGGCCCAATGTGAAAACGTAGCTACATGCTTTTCTGCAGCATTTCCATTGAAGTCTGTAGAACCAAAAACGCAATGTTTTGCATTAAAAAAAGTCCCTGACCTTTCCTAAAAACGCACCTTGTGAAAACGCGGAGATGTGAATGTGTCCCATAGGAAATCATTTTAAATGGACTGTACTGCGTTTCTGCAAAATGCTTCGGAAGATGCATAGGTGCGAACCTAGGGTCATTCCTTAATCCAAAGCACCTGCAATGCAGTACACCACAAAGCATGAAATGCATGACTATTTGTTGTGATGTGTTGCGTTGGAAAAAAAATAGTACATTTGATTTTTGCTGCATTGTGTCACGTAACACCATGAACATTAATACGGGATAACACGTTACCATGCATTCATTAACACATGTTCATTAGCACAGAGCTGACATCTAAATGGGCCCTTACAATTGCCACCTAAACATTACCCAACACAAAATGTAACAAAAACAATCTGGATTTTAAAATCACAGGAGGTCTCAAAGCTTTGGACACGAGCAAAGTTTTGTACAATGCTGCAGTCTGTTTTTCTCCACAGCAGGCATGAGCTGTTGCATTGGATCATTACTACAATGACAGCATGAAAGATCTGTTAGACGCCATTGTTTTTTCTGAACGGTCTGGCCTCTTTGTAAAGTGTTGCGGCTGGATGGTGAGTGGTAGGTAATATCACACTGACAGCTTGGCACACTATACAAAGGTACATGCATACATTCCAGCATCACCTAAGGAAAAAAGATCAGAGTTTGCTACAAAATGACTGTCACTCCGGGATGGCAATACATTCAGTAAATGAGTTTTTATAACACATGCACAGAAGGATAGGAAAGTGACTGAATTTTGGCCCAGTGAAAAAAAAAAACTGTCCCATGAAGCTTACATTTTTTTTAAACAAATATTTAACAAAATGTAAAATGTGTCAAGAAGCTTGATAGTAGAGTAGCAATGTATTGTGTTTTAATGGATAATAATACAGTTAGCTGGAATAGATATTTCTAATTGCTATGTAATGGGGCAGCACAGTGGCTAAATGGTTAGCACTTCCGCCTGGCAATACTAGGGTTGTTGTGGCTCAAATCCCATCCATGACACCACCTGCCTGGAGTTTGCATGTTCTCTCTGTGACTGCATGGGTCTCCTTCCTGTCTAAATTGGCCTTAGTATGTATGAATGTGAGTTAGGAACCTTGAATTGTACACTCCTTGAGGGTTAGGGACTGATGCAAATGTACAATATATACATGTAAAACACTGCATAAAACTGATGGCACTATATAAGTACCTGTAATAAATAAATAAAACCTTTCACAAAACGCATCATTGCAATACTACACTAAATTAAATGTACAGTATGTGATTTATGAAGTGTGGATATTTTTACCTTGCACCACCCAATTTTATCTGAAAAGAACATATAATCAGGCTCCTCTGGAGAAGCTAATTAGAGCAGCAAATGCTAGCTTATTAATTGCAGTAGAGGCCCATTTTATCAATTAATACTTTCCATAATCACAAATGTGGTGGAAGAGAAGCATGCTGTGTTGTTATATGATAGGAGGGGGCAATCCTTTATACACTCCTGCAATTACGACTCTTCTTCCCATCAGGAAAAAGAAAATGATCTTTAAAATTAGAACAAAAAAATATCTCTTAGCTACGATACCAAAATCACTGGTCATTTCATAGTAACTTGTAATACAAAAAAGTCTTGTTTTGTGCATTTATGCAAAAACTAATTGTAAATAAGAAACACAATATTAGAAACGGCAATTTCATTTTATTAGGGCAATGACAATATGTTTTCATGTATTCTGAATTTATTACAGGTGCCCATATTCCTGTTGAACCAAGAAGTAAATTTATAGGTGTAGTGTAAGGGCGCTTTCACACTGATGTGGTGAGGTTTTCCCATAGTCTGTCGCAGTGTACCTGCAGAATTCATGCAGGTTACCTGTGCTTCGCCATAGACTTCCATTAGAACAGGCAGTTTTGGTACGTTTTCTGAAAGCACGCTAAAATTCTTGCATGTAGGTCTTTTGGTGCACTATCAGAAAACACACCCAATCTAAAAGAAGTCAATGGCAAAGTGCAAAAACCATTGGTACACTTCCCATGCGTCAATGTGAAAATGCCTTTAGAAAATAAATGAGGGTTCATGCTCACATAGAAAACTCAGCATTTACCAAGAGAAGACTGTGTGTGTGGGGGGGGGGTGGGGGGATTTACTAAAATTGGAGAATGCAAAGTTTGGTGCATCTGTGCATAGAGACCAATCAGATTTCAGGTTTTATTGTCAAAGCTTAATTGAACAAGCTGAAATTAGAAGCTGATTGGCTACCATGCACAGCTGTACCAGATTCTGAGTGCTCCAGTTTTAGTAAATCTCCCTCCTGTGTTTGACCTCAGTAGGACATAAAGCATCCAGGACTCACTGAATGATCCCTTGTTAACACACAATGCAGAAGGCCAACTTCTAATTGTGTAAGGCTAGGTTCACACTAATGCGGTGCGGTATATCTCTTGTGATTCGCACAGGAACCGCACTGCATTCCTGTGCAAAACGCATGGGAATTCTGTGCGGTGCAATTTGAGCCGTACATGGCTCAAATCACACTGCATCCACACCAAAAAAGTGCAGGACCCTTTTTTGGGTCTGCACTAGAATTGGATCGCATGGGTATTCACACGTCTGCGATCTGATTCTGCACATCGCACTGTGTTTTTGCGGGGTGACCGATTTTGCTGCAAATTCCGTACTGCATCTGTGTGAACCCAGACTAGCTCAAAAAAGCTGCCAGCACAGTACAGATGGGGGTAATTATGTTAAACATTGCCTCACAGCCCCTTCCTAAACATTACAATGCAGGGAGACCTTGGTATGTTCTTAAGCAAGTAAAAGCACTAAGGCTCCAATCACACTTGTGTGACTTGTCATGCGACTTTGGGTTCCAAAGTCACATTACAAGTTGCACCCCATGTTTCCCAATGACTACCATTCATATCTGTGCTACTTCAAGTCACAGCGATTCGAAAGTAGTTCCTGCACTTCTTTGGTCTGACTTTCATGCAACTTGAGGGCCATAGACTTCAATGTAAACCCTCCATAGTACAGCACAATTATCCTTGGTGAAAGCCAAAGTCGAACTCATCCAAAGTCACATCAAAATTGCATCAAGTCGCACTTCAATGTCACAATGAAAATTGCATTGTCTTGAAGTTGCGCAAGTGTGAATGGAGCCTTAAACAGATAACCAGCTATTATAAAATATTTATTTAAGCACTTCAAGACCAGAATGACCAGACTGTTTCCCTCCTTCCTGCCAAGGCCATTTTTATATTTTCAGTGCTGTCACAACTTGAATGACATGTACTCATTCACACAACACTGTACCCAAATTACATTTTTATATCATAATTTTTTAAACAGATAGAGTTTTCTTTTGGTGGTATTTAATCACTAGTGGGTTTTTATTTATTTTATTTGCCAAGAATTAACAAAATACAGAAAATAAAAAAAAAAATTTCTTAGTTTCTATTATAAACTTTCCAAATAAAGAATATGTATTAATAAATTTAGGCCAACACATATTCTTCTACATTTCCTTGGTGAAAAAAAAATAGATGTATATTTAGTCTGTGTGAAAGTTATAGAGTCTACAAACTATGGTATATATGCAGGGCTCAGCATAAATGAGTGCACCCCTTTTGAAAAGTAAGATTTTAATCAATATCTCAATGAATACAAGAACAGTTTCCAAAACGTTTGAGAAACAGTTTTAGAGAACATTTGTTTAGCCCATTACATGAAATTAATGTTAATAATAGAACTTAGATGACAAAATCTTCAGGTTTTACTCAAATTAGCTGATGCAAAAATTAATACACCCCACAACAAGAACTACTACATCTAGTATTTTGTATGACCTCCATGTTTTGTAAGGACAGCACCAAGTCTTCTAGGCATGGCATGAACAAGTTGGTGACATATTGCAACATCTGTCTTTTTCCATTCTTCAAGAATGACCTCTTTTAGAGCCTGGATGCTGGATGGAGAGTGATGCTCAACTTGTCTCATTAGAATTCCCCATAGGTGTTCGATTGGGTTCAGATCGGAAGACATTTTTGGCCACTGAATCGCTTTCATCCTGTTCTTCTTCAGAAATGAAACGGTGGCCTTAGATGTGTGTTTTGGATCATTATTATGTTGGAAAAGTGCATGACGACCAAGGGCAATAAGTGATGGTAGCATCTTCTTTCAATACAGAGCAGTACATCTGTGAGTTTATGATACAATCAATGAAATGCAGCTACCTGACACCAGCAGCACTGCCACCACCATGCATTTTTCTCTGTACTTCTACCTTTGTGACACCATACAGTTTTGAAGCCATCCATTCCAAAAATATTTATCTTGCTCTCATCACTCCAGAGTACAGAGTCCCAGTAGTCTTCTTTTTCAGCATGGGCCCTAAGAAATTCTGGGTGGGCTTTTTTATGCATGGGCTTTAGGAGAGGTTTCCTTCATAGACGACACCGATGCATGCCATTCCTCTGCAGTGTACGCAGTATTGTGTCACGGGAAACAATCATCTCAGTTTGGCTTTCTACTTTAGCGAACTGCAGTGAACTTGCATTTTCTTCAACCCTTCTCATCAAAGACGTTCCTGTCGAAGTGTTAACTTCCATGGACGGCCTGGATGTCTCTGTGAGATGTTGCAGTTTAATTTTTGCATCACTTTTGCTACAGTATTCTGACTGATAAGTAAAGCTTTGCTGATCTTCTTGTAGCCTTCACCTTTCTTGTGTAAAGAAATTATTTTCTTTCTCAGGCCATTTCTCTTTCATGTGGTACCATTGCTGACAGCATGAAATGGGATGGGGTTTTCTTTAAGTAACACCCTTTTATAATCAACTGTCTGCTGGACACCTGCTTAATGAATAATTAGACTCACCTGCAGTTGAATTAGTGTTAATTAGGATTTTGTTGTCTAAAATTTAGCTTTGCTCCTAAACTTTCATTGAGGTGTATTCAATTTTGCCACATGGTCTTGAATGAATTTGTTTGTGTGCAAATTAACAAATCTTGTTTGCAATCAATAGCCCGCATTTGTGGGAGTATTTTGTAGTATAGTGTCCCATAGAAAATGTTGATTGTAAAGGGAAAGTAAAGTTTTCTAACAGATCTGTTGGGGTGTACTCATTTATGCTGAGCACTGTATTTGAAAATTGATCAATCCTGATGGCCTCATTTCTTGAGGCCAGAAAATGCAAGGACAGTACAAATACCTACCTAAATGACCCCTTCTTGGAAAGTAGACAGTCCATGGTATTTTATGAGATGCATGGTGAGTTTTTTTTTAAGTTGTTTTTTTTTTTTACTTTTTTTTGGAAAATAATGATATGCAATTCCTTTTTTTTAATTTTACTTTTTAATGTTTACATAATGTTCCCAGAGCAGTGCAGCATCACCATATGACTGATGTGGTGATGATCAGGGACACTGGTGACATTATGCAAAAAATTTGTTACTAATTCTTTTTTCAAAATTTTAAGAGACATCGTGAGAAGAGGAGGGGGCTTATTGAAATTGCAAAGCCCCTTTCTAAAATAAGGAGGCCCTCAGATATCTCCTTCCCTGAGGCAATCGAGTATGAGGTAATGTCACTAGCAGAAAGAAAAAAAAACACCCATACCATAGTAAAATGATTTATTTATATTTATTCTAAATTTGCTAAGAAGGCTGCAGGCAGTCTTGAGGGGAAAATCCAAAATTGCCCTGGACCTTATTGTTCTAGATTATATCAAATTAGAATCTAACATAAATTATTAGTCCACAAACAATCCCACACATTTAAATGAAATAACTTAGATCACTTAGAAGAGTGCAAGTCGCATCAGTGATCAATAGTTAGACAATTATTCACAGGTTATAATTGAAAGATGGCCTAGGCCTGCAGTCCTAGCTGCCATGAGTTTCTGACTCCTTGGCAGCAGTGAGGAAGAGGTCTTTACACAACAAAAGCTCCAGATTGTCTGCAACTTTTTGTTGTTTTCCAAAGAGCAGAGTGAGTATGCTGTCATCTGTCATAGACCCAAAATACTAGTCATAGGGAGTTGGAAATGATTCCTTCTCATAATAGGCATTACGAGCTTCTTGCAGATGCAAATAGGTATAGCCTGGCCTTACAAAACAACCTAGGGCCCCATTAATGGCACTTATGTTATGTTTGCAATCTAGATGATGTGCTGCTATTGGAAATTCTAACACTAATCCAGCCATCAGAACCAGCAGATCCATCTAACCTGCAATCACTTTAGGAGGCAAAAAATTTCTTCACAGCAGGTGTGGTAACGCCTCTAAAGGTGAATGGCCAAAGAGGAAAAGCCTGTCCCACATCCATACCTCTAAAATTAAGTAGCATGAAAATGAACATTGTTCTAGTAAGGTAGATTGCTGGAACTTGTGCTTCAACCAGCAGGATAAACTGTACTGCATACATTTCTATGGTATTTTCTGCCAGCTTTCATCATTTTTACATTGGCACACATGTAGCGCTACCCCCGAAGGCACCACTTATAGGATGGTTCCTCTGTTCTTTGCCTTGGACTTTTCCAAAAGACCTCAGCCCCTCTAACACACTCAGTTGAGTGTACAATATCACAGGAATTCACTGAAGGTAATACTTAGTGCCCAGGATTAGGATTATATCAAAACAACCAGGCATGAAACCAGTTAGTAAAGGCAAGCATAAAATGTAATAGTAATAACACAATTTACCATACAAAGTGACATTAGGGACTAGGCATGCAGTGACATTTGGTGTCCATGTCAGCATAAACAATAGCAAGGACACCTCATATGCAGCAGTGAGCAGTAGCAAAGTTTAATCTACAGAGTACTGGAACTATACTCCCAGAGTGCATTTATGGCTGCGATTCTAGTCCTAGGCCGACTGACTATGCACTGTCCAAAAGAAAAGGAGGATGGTAGCAAAAGGGGCAGGGGGACAAAGGGGGCTTGTGGAATAATTATTACAGGAGCGGCAGTCTTTGGAGATGTTCTTCTGCTGGCTATCATTGGGGTCCTTTAAGAGCATTGGTGCACTTAACAACAATCCCACTTAACCTACATGCAGTATAGGTGTAGTTAGGTGTGGTATAATCTCAGCATATGTGTAAGGAAGATGTGGTTTAGATGCAGTTAAGGTTTGGTATAATTTGGTATATTGTTGGTATATGTGCAGTCTAGGTTTGAAATAAGTGCAGTACAGGGTGCAGTATGGCTGCAGTATAGATTAGGTACACTTTGTGTCTTGCTTTTATTGGCTCAGTCCCTGATAGCAGTATCCACAATGGGTGAATAACCCTCTCAAAAGTCCCTGGGATGCTGCGGTTACCTTACATTTTAGAAGGGGGCTGCCTTGGTCTCTCTTTGAAAGCCTCTGGTGATTAGCGGTCGGAAACAGAGGATGAGTAAATGCTCCAGTCTCCCTGTGGCAGCGGTGCAAGTCCTGTGATATGGGCAGTGCTGCGCTTCGCCCAGGTGTCCTCACTCCAGTCTCAGGCTCAGGTCTCCACTGGCATGGTCTCCAGCTGGCAAGCGAATATCCAGGCAGTGTTGCTCTCTATCTCCCTCTGAGCCAAGATAAAGTACTTTCCTGGGCAGTTTAATATAAATCACACTCCTCCTATTGCACAGTGCCTACTGGGATCTGTAGTGTAACCATTATAGTGTAGCCAATATATGGCTGTCATCTCAAACTACTTCTCAGTGCTCTGCATAGAAATCTATGGGCTTGCTTGGCTTTAGCTTTCCCTCTGCTGGTCAGATGAGGATGCTGCAGCATAACATCAGTATCACAGTAGAGGGAGAGAAGAATAAAGGACAATGTCTCCATCTCCATATTACTGTAGCCCAGCACCTTGTTAAACATATACCTAGAGAAATTGTTGCATGGCATTATTGGCGTCTGCATGCTCAGTTGTAAGTTTGCTGTTATTCTGTATAAAATTGCATTTTAATCCATACAGTGAGGGGGGCAATTCAGCCGTTTATAGATTATTTCCTATTGGTTGTCATGCATATTCACTTTATCACCTGCACTTTCTGAAGACTTTTTGGTGTTTAAGCACCTTTGAACTTTTTTCTTTTTTCTTTGGACTTATTTCATGCGACAATTTTGTAAAAAAGTTTTTTTGGTTAATCATTTCTGGTGATATATTTTTATTATGTATATTTATTTTTTTATCATATTTTTGTCATTTAATCACTGCACTTGTCACTACTGTGTGATAATTAATCCCATATTTAGGGATTGACGGAGTTTTTCACCTATTTTTCACTTTTATTTGCCAAATTTATATTCTTTGTGGTCACCAGTATTGTCAGAGTGATAATTGATCCCACATTTAGGGATTCACCATTTTTTATATTTATTCAGATGTACTGTAGTCCCATCAGGATTATTTTTCTTTCCCTGGCATTTATTTTCAATATTTATTCACCATTATTGTTAGAGTAATAATTGATCCACATTTTGGGATTCACCATTTTTTTATTTATTAATAACTTTCACATTATTGTAGTCCCATCAGGACTTTTTTTTCTCCTTCACTGGCGTTTATTTTCAACATTTATTCACTTTTCCATCTCATTATGGATCTCCTAGTGGATCAGTTCACTTCATGATTGGTGAGTGAGTGGCATATTTATCCACTGTATGCACTGAGGATAATGATTAGTCACCATTAAGATATATTTGGTATGTAATATATTGGGTTTTAATACTGTTTTGTATTATTATATTTGTTTTTTTTTGTTATAAGTCACGGAAAAATGTAGAGTAGCGCTGCACCATACTCTTTATAATAATCCACAAAGTGACAATTCATAAAATAAACATCAATCATTGGATCAAATAAGCTATATACAGTACATAAACATGATGACACCTAGTTTATTAAAAATACCAATAACAGAATATATCACAACACCAACATTCCTATAACATTACAGTAGATAACCTTAGCCCACATTTTTCCAAGGAATGGCTTGATGATAGTGACTTCATTTAGCCCATTTCATTTCAAGCGGAAGCACAATACATTCAACATCATAACCTCTTGGTTTAGGTGAATTCAACCCAGTGCACTAGACAAGATGACAGTGGAGTCATAGTGGCAATAAAGAGTTGCATGTCTGCCAGTTGGGGTAGTCATGTCACCATTATAAATAGAATTGATATGGCAATATATTCTTCACCAAATAGGGTGTTCGATCATTCCTATATAAAATGCCTGTTTAGCGATGTTTGACTAATTTGTTCCTCATTATGTCACATAACTTCAGTTAGTTTAAGATCAATTTGGAGCAAGAACCAGTATTTACTCAAAATGCCTCTAATTTGATAATGTTGATGAATATAGCGAGGTAA